TCTCCTTCCCTCCCTCCCTTGCTCCCTCCCTCCTTCTCTTCCTTCCTTCCTTCCCTCCCTCCTTCCTCCTCCCTCCCTTGGGATCCAACACAGGGTCTCACGCATGCTCAGCACCCTGGGCCGCTGAGTTGGCCCCAGCCCTGCTGCTCCACTCCCACTCAGCGATTCCGGGTGCGCATGGCTGTCCTGCAAGCTGCTGCCCCGTTCGTAGTCCGTCAGGGCCGCTGAGCTGCTGCAATAACAGCCTTCATTTCTGGGTCTCGGTGAGCACAGGAAGGCGTGAGACCCCATGAGACCCCGGGGTGGGTGTTTGCAGCAGCTCTGGATCCAGAAACTGAGGTCTACCTCTTTTCTGAAAACCTTTTTTAAATAAAATGTTTATTAGTACACATTTGCCGTGCTAAAATCTTGAATGAGTCCACCCGCGAGAGAGTCTGAAGATGGTAGGATGTGCATCTGTGTTTGGGCCCTGGACTCTGTGTATGCTGCCAGCTCCCTAAGTCTGCCTACATGAGCAGAGACCATTTGGTCTAGGAACTGGCAGGCACGGCTAACACACAAAGATAGACGCAAAGAGTTAATTCTGAGCGCTGATCTGCCAAGGGCCCAAGATCCAGAGATGCACTTTAGAGACAGCGTCCCACCACCACCAATTCTTCGGCATTCTCAAGGCTGCACTAGGGGAAAACAGGGCCAAGCGGCACGGGGGAAGTGGGGAGGGGACCTCAAACAGCAGAGATTAATCTTGGAAATGTGGGCTGTGGCTAAGTCTACCCATAAATGACTGTGTTCTCTTTACTGCTACAGTAGACACTGAAATTCAAAATTGACGGTGTAATAGGAAAACAGAGGAAACTATTTTGTGACTAGTCTGTCAGTAAAATTGTAACACCCACTGCTAGAGGGGAAGTAACACTACCAGCTAATTAATATATAAGAAAAGATCCAGAGGGATTAAAAATAGGATGGTTTTGTTTTGCTTTTATGAGTTTTTAATTTTTGCATTAGAAATATGTCTTGTGTTTGTTATAAGAAAAAATAAACGAGGCATTTTACTCTTTTTTTGCAGTCACAAATGCTAGGCAGATGCTGTGCCACTAAACTAACTCTCTAGCTCTATTTTACTTTAAAAACCAATCTCCCCTCCCTCTCCTGTGCTTTCTCACTCAACTCGACGTCCTCTCAAATGTTACTAATCTGTGGCTCTAACTACACGCGTTTCCTGATGGAGCTGCCCCAGCTACCATCTTTCCTGTTTCTTTTATAATTCTCCATCTCGCCAACCTTCACGCCTTGGTGTCGTCTAAATTCACTGGTGTTGAGGATTCAGTTGACCAGGACGCCGTCAACTGTGCATGTGGAACATGTGATTAAACAGAAAAGCCATCCGTCACACGGACCTGCATTGGTCTCTCGGGAGTGGACTTTGGTATAGACGCGAGGCGTAGACTGATGAATCTACATCGTACTTGCAAAAGTATTCAAAGAGGTTTAGGAGGAAAGAGGCCTGATCAAAACCGAAACAGCAGTGGGAGGAAGTTCAGTCCTCCTAACAGGTGTGGGTGGCCACAGGCGAGTGAGGCCGGGCCTGGAGGAAGAGCGAGAGACGGGCCAGATCTGCTCTGGTGGGTGTTACCCAGGCAACGGGGGGGGGCAAGGGCGTGGCTGAGCATGGGAGGGGACAGCACACCCTTCTCGGAGGTCTCCGGACTCAGTCTGGAAAGATAAGTCAGGGTTATCCAGGGGAGGAAATGTTCCTAGAAGTGGTGAAGAAATCTGGGCAAATAAACATTACACAACAAAGCCCAACTTTTTAGTTCCAAGCTTCCCAGCAGTCAAGGCAAAAAGGGAAAATAGACCGTGCTACTTATTTATTTATTTTTTTTAACTTTTTGATGAAAGGGAAAGACCTTTTTAGGAGCTAACAAGTAAAATTCTAGACCAGTGATTCTCAGGTTTTACTGCATATAAAAATCTCAGCAAAGCCGGGCATGGTGGTTCACACCTATAATTCTAGCACTCTGGGAGGCTGAGACAGGAGGATGATAACTTTGAGCCCAGCCTGAGGAGCTTAGTGACTTAGTCAGACCATCTCAAAATACGAAGAAAAAGGGACTGAGGATGTAGCTCAGTACAAAGGGCTTGGATTCAATCCCTAGCACTACAAATACAAACAGAAAAACTCTTCAAACTTCATTTAAAATGCAACAAACATACTGGAAAAGAATTTTTCAGAGGAAGAAGTACAAATGGTCAATAAATACATGAAAAATGTTCAACATCACTGGCCATTTGAGAAACCCAAATGAAAACAACACTTAGATTCCATCTCACTTGAGAAAGAATGGTTATCATCAAGAAATTAAAGAATAACAAATGCTAGAGAGGCTTTGGGGCGGGGGGACTCTGCTTCATTTTTGTGGGGAGTGTAAACTGGTACAACCAATATGGAAATCAGTATGGAGATTCCTCAAAAAACTAAAAATAGAAATTGCTTTTGACCTAACTATTTCCCTTCTAGGTATCTTTCTGCAAGAGTTAAAGACATATTACAGTGATATATGTATACCCATGTTTATAGCAGCACAAATCATAATAGCTAAATCTTGGAAACTGCCTATCTGTCCATTAAAAGATGAATGGATAAAGAATGTGGTATTTACACATAATGGAGTACTACTCTGTCATAAAGAAGGGTAAACTTGAGTCATTTGTAGGAAAATAGGTGCACCCTGAGACCACACTGTTAAGTGAAACAAATCAGACACACAAGCTTAAATATTGCATGATTTCTCGTATATGAGAAACCCAATATATTATAAAAGTGGAAACTAAAAGACAACAGAAAAAAAAGGGAAAAGCATTATTGTAATTCAGCATGGCCAATGTCTCTTGATGTAGCACAATCATTTTGTGTATATGGGTTTTGGTTTGTTAGTCTAGCAGTTAACCTAGGTTTATGACGATTAACTTGATAAAGACTTAAAAATAAATCTGATGCTGGCAAAAAAAAAAAAAAAAAGATGTGAAAAAAATAAAACCTGACATTCTGGCCCTCAGCTTGAGGTTCTGACTCAGCAGTTGGGGCTGGCCTACGACTCTGCATTTTAAAATGCTCCTCCAAATAACTCGATGCTGGCGCTCCCCTCCAAACCACTTCAAAAATATTGTTGCAAAAGGAATTTTTATTCACTTGTTCACTTGCTCATTCAAAAAACTACTAAGCCCTCTCCTGGATCCTGGGGACACACTGCCTGAGGGAGACGCTGGCCGTTGGAGGGACCTCGAGTCCTGGTGCCAGTCTGTGGATGCCCCGCTCCTGCTGGGCTGCTCACACTGTGCCCCATGCCCATGCTCCCGGGCACGGCGCTTTTCACTTCTACTTTGTGGTGCCCGGGCCATTTGCGGTCCTGGGGGACCCTTCCAGGAGGAGGTGCAGACTGAGGCCCGTGCTGGAAGCCCCTGGGGTCCAGCAGTCTCCACACGGCCCCTGAACAGACCAGGACTGGTGGATGGGACAGGGACACAGATCCAAGGAGCAGCTGGGCTGACGGCCACAAGTTGGCCGTGTGAGCTGGTGTGGCCACTTGCAGGGCTGTAACGTTGTTGTCAGCCCTCTCCTGGTGGCACGTTCTGGTTCCTTCTACCTTAGGCCCGGGCCTGTGCTGCCCCGCCCTGCCCAGCCATCTCTCTGGACATGGCTTTAGCACCCAGCCTTCTGCTGCCTCCTTCCTGAGCCTCCCTAACTTCCTCCAGTGCGATGACAGCCCCTGATGAGGAGCCCACCGCCTCACCTGAGGGCCTGGCCTTGGAGCTCAAACACCAAGGAGCTGTCAGCCACACCAGCTGGATTCAGACAGTAAAAGGAGCCCCAGGAAGTTGGTGTGAAGGCCAGGTTGGGTGTTCTGTGTATGAGTGTGTGTACACGTTTTGTGAGTGTGTGAGTGTATACAGGGGAGGTGTGGAAAGGCTCAGTAGCCAAATGGACCATGGCCAGATGAGGTAGGAAAAACAGGACTCAGATCCATGACCTGCAAATATCAGGTTAGAAAACCAATCCCAGAAGTCAGCTGCTGTGCAAGCAAATCAGACATGAAGGAAGTCCGGTCTCTACCTCACAGCTTCCCTAACTTTCATCCCACTTCTAATCTGGGAGAAACCCAATATGGGCCACTCACAAGTCGCTGTCATCAACAACCAGAACTTGCTGCTAGTTCCTCATTGGGGGACCCCTGAAGCCATCCTTTGTGTCCCCTGCCTGCCCTTGGGTCTCTGCCAAAACGAACGTGAGGGAGGCCACTCCCTGCTGTACTGAGCTCTGAATCGAATAACCTCGGCTCTTTCCCATTTATGCCCCAGGGTGCACGGGTGCATGTGAGAGGAGGTGGGTGTACATCTGTGTGCATGTGTTCCTCAGTGTGGGAGGGATGACAGCGAGTTTGGGGGGAGGGAATGGGGGTGGGGAGCCTGGGGATGTAGGTCAGTGGTAGCGCATTTGCCCAGCATGCATGAGGCCCTGGGTTCAATCCCTATTACTGCAAAAGCAAAAGCAACTACTTCTGGACTTGCTCCTTAGAGTCTCTCCTCTTTATGGCCCATGGAGCTGCTGCTGGTGGTGGTGGGAGGCAAGAGAGCGAACTGCTTGAGTCACTTCTGTAGTGTGGCCAGGCACTTCTGGGCACCAAGCTCCCTTGCTGCTGTGGAGAGCCACCTGCAGACACCAAGGTGACCTCATGCAGCCCTGCCATTCACTCGGAGGCTCCTGGTGTCTCCCGATTAGCACGGAGGCCCTGACTCCCTGCCCAAGTGTATCAGGGCTTAATCTGAGCCCAGGTAGCCACTTGCCAGAATTAATGGTTGGCAAAACTAAAGCAGAGGTAAACAGCCCTTTCTCTCCCACAGGGTCTCCCTGCGATTCTAACTGCAGCGGATGGGTCACTGGCTTGTCACCACTTTCTGATGAATGATGGTAATTTTCTTCCCCTCCGGATAAGCTTTATCACGATTAAGGGTCTTAGTGAGCACCGGGGTCAAAAGAAAATTACATGCTTGTGCGGGTTTTCTTCAAAGCCTCCCTCGGCGTATTTTGTACACCGTTCTGATTTACTGTCAAGCTGCTCAAAAGCAATGCGGAGCCCACTTGTTGAGACTTGGAGGCGCTGTTCGGCCCTGCCGGAGGGCTCAGCAGTGGACAGTCCCAGAAGTCAGGCTGTGGCCCAGCCCCAGGCACCAGGCTGCAACTCCCCACCTCTAGATATAGTTTTAAGGTGCCTTGCCCTCGCCAAGTGCATGCCCCAAGCCAGGGAGCCAGCGATGCTTTTAACAGGGCAGAAATGCGAAAACTGAAGAGAACTCCCAGCCCTGGGCCTCTCTCACACATGTGTCACAGCTGGGAAAAGCTCGCTCTCGCTCCCACTGGAATAATTGTCACCCATACTCAGCCCTAGAGGGTCTCAGAGCCAGTGGTCCATTCACACGCTCAGTGCTCAGCGAGAGTTTGAATAGCTCTTTCTCTGTTGTTTTCAAATCAATCACCCCATTTGAAGACTTCTGCTTTCTTCTGCTGTTCTGTATTGTCCCCCCAGGCGCCCCAAAGCATTCCTTATCAAGAGTGAACTTAATTGCCAGTTTAAAGCATTAAAGCACAAACTGTAAATCTATGATCACCAAGTGAATCACCAACCTTCTCAAAGAAGATAAGGACTGAGACAAGCATGACTAATGACACCACAGCAAGACGTTCACTACCGCTGTGTGGGGGCTGAGGGCTTCCGGCCACCAAGCAGATCACAGATGGCGAAGGAGCTGTTCTGCTGGCATCGGGAAGGGCTGGGGCAGACACAAACGTGATGAGGGAACTGCAGCCCGCTGTACTCAGGCCTCCAACCTGGGCCCCAGGACACAATTCAAACAGCCACCCACTGACCACACACACTCTCCCCCCACCATGTCCTCCGCAGACACTTCCTTCCTGTTCCTGCTCAGTTTCCACCCGAAATCTACTTCTGTCCTGTTCTATGTTGCTCCTGACAACCTCCGAGAAATTGATCGCCATGAAAGAAAGAAGACAGGTGACTGCATACCTGCCCGCCCTGCCCGGCACGTCATGCTTTAGCGATGGACCTGTGGAGAGACCATTTCTCTCCGGGGTGAAGACCACCCCCTCAGGCCAGGCCGGGCACTGTCCCTGCGCACCAGGTGGACCTCACTCACGGGGTCGCTGCCCTGGGGCCAAGGGAGAGGATGGACCTAGTGCCTGGTGGCTTTCTGAGGACGCAGCTGTCCTTGCTGTCTCGACCTGGGCTATCCAACACGGCAGCCACTAGCCCGGGAGTCATTTAAATTTCATTTTACAAAATGAAATAAAGTTCGATTTCCCTTAGGCTCCTTTCCAGGCCTCCACAGCCAGGAGCTAGCGGCTCCTGCTTTGGACAGCGCCCAGGTCGCTGTCTTCCATCAGCACGAGCAGCGGGGACAGCGCTGTCCCAGGCTCCAGGCAGCTCTGGAGGCTTCCCTGGAGTGTGTGCAAAAGCGCCAAGCCAGGACCACGGCGGCCCCAGACTCAGAGCGCCTGGAGGAGCAGGCCTGTGGGCAGGGACACTGGGGCGATCGGGCTGGGACTCCGGGGCAGAGGAGGTTTTGCTAACTGAATCAGAGCTGGACGAGCAGCTCCTCTTTTGCAATCCTTGCAGGTCTGACAGGCTCCTGCAGAGTTACATCACTTCCTAAAAAACAGGCAAACACCTCTCCTTCAAGTGAGCACGGACCCAAACAAGCAGGAAACAGGAAATGTGCGCGGTGGAGGAGGCCGCGGCCGCGCAGCATCCCCGGGAGCTGACATGAGCGCCCCGCGCGCAGCCCTCCTGGGGGCCCTTCTGGGCCTCGCCGCCACCGACCAGGGTAAGCCATCTCCCCTGCCTGGGGGACCCCAAAGCCCGGGGCGCCGCGGTCACAGGGCTGTGCCAGGGAGGGGCACCCCGAAACTCATCCTTTCTGTGGAAGTGGAGAGGAGAACACTGTCCCTTGAGGGCTGGAGGGAGGACTCGCTCCAGTCCTCCCACTTGATTGAAACGGCTTGGCGGCCTTTGTCTTCTGAGATGTGTGATCCCTGTAATTTACCAGGTTTAATGCGCACATTAAGAAAACCATAAACTTTTGGCAGTTCATGGAAAAGAACTTTTCAATTGGTTAGGAACAGAGATAATGGATTTGCTTTTAGCAGCGTGGGCTGAGAGGTCTGCTGGCTCCCAAAACTCTTGGAAAGCTGGGGTGCAGAAATCTACACTAGAATGCATTTTAATGAAAAACGATGAGTTTAAAAAATGTAAATAGGAAATCTACTGAGGAGTTACCAGGCATACACTTTAACACACAGAGAAAGTTCTTTTCATCTGCTTGTCTTTGATTTTGTTACTTTGGGCGATATGTTGTTTGCATTGGTTGTTACTGTTGGAAAGTTTATTTGCAAAAGTAATATGAGTGTAACCAATTAAAGGTATTGGAAAAGACAAAATGTTAAATCTCATTATTTTGGGCTAGAAGCAGCAATTGATTTGTTCTCTTGACAGTTGCTGCGACCTGCAAAGCACCCTGCATTGCCTCTCTGAGGGTTTGTTACTTGCCCTTGGTAAATAAACTTGTTGCCTTGATTTCTGCCAGCGGATACTGCCGACAGCTAGCGTAGACAGTGCTGGAGCAGAGGACATTTCTCAAGCTACAATTATTTAAATAGGGTGGGGGATGCCACTCACTGACCTTGCAGATGTGAGGGCTTCAGGGACATTAGCTGTCAGCCTCCACCTCCCCAGGGTACCCACCGGTTGCTTCTCCCTGGTGCTGACTGCTTAGGTCCCCCTCAACCCAGGCGTTTGCAGAGGAAACTGGAAGGTGAAGGAAGCAAACCATTCCTCCTAGAAGGAAGCCTGGTTGGGATGGAGACTAATGTTCAAACTGAGTTTGGGCATCACTGCACGGTTTTATGCACAAAGTTTTGGAGCTGGATGGGAGCTAGAAGGGGCTGCGAGCAACTCCAGGGAGATTTTTCGTTAGTTCTTTGATTTCTTCAAACCATTATAAGGGTTCAGCATAAATGAGGAACTCAATAATTATAGATAAATACTAAAATCATCTGTAGAACGGATGTGATGCTTATCACAAAAAACTGACAAGTTCCTAAAAACAGATAGTGCTAGAATGTCAGAAGAAGTCAAAGATGAAAGCTATGTTTCTTCTACTGGGCCCTGGCTAGATTGCCAGTGTGTGGAAAAAATAAAAAATCTGTTTAATAAAAGCTTATTACCATGAGATTGGTCAAGGGAATGGCTATTCCAAATTGAGGCTTAATCTTTAATTAATTAGTGTGTGTATATCTTCTTGAACTAATGGTTCCTAAAACTTTAGGTTAGTTTATAGGTGTCACATGTGTGTTTCCTCGAATTCTTAAAATAATAGCTGGGGGATGTTTGGTCAAAGAATCCAATCTACCGAACAGCCTGCCCCCCCCCCCCCTCAACAAGCATAGCCTGAGATATATCCCAGTTTAAGCATCTACTAACAACAAACAGGCAACATGGCTTGATACCAGCCTCACCGACTCTGGGTCAACACCTTTTTTTGTGTGTGTGTGGTACCGGGGATCGAACTCAGGACCTTGCGCTTATGAGGCAGGTGCAGTGTCATTGAGCTAAATCCCCAGTCCCCACACAGTTTTTTATATAGACTGGCAGCCTGATTCAGGATTCAGTGAAATAACCTGCTTGTGAGTCACCAGTAGACAAATAAGAAAACAGCCTTTCCAGGACTTTGACCCATAGATGATCACAATTTTATTTTGGCCGGTGCAGGGACCTCAGAAAGTTTAAAGTCAAGGCCACTTTGTGCTGGGAAGTGAAGGGAAGTGTCCCCACCTCCCTGGTTTACCTTGTGCCTGGTTCATGTGGGCGCCACACTTCCAGAAAACTGAAAGCGACTCCCCAGGTACCAAGAGCGCGGGATTTATTAGCTGCCACCGCAGAGTGGTTTGCAGAGGGAAGTGGTGGCTGGCATGAAGCAGAAACAAGGAGTCTGTGACTGCATTGGTGGCTACAAAGACATTTCAGAAGTGTAAGATCCATATGATTATTGGGCAAACTGTGAGAAGGAAAGAATAGAAGGAAATATTAGTTGCATAACTGAAGCTGCACATCCTGACACTGTAATATCTCTTATCTCAGTGAATGTGACTGCATCTTCCATTCCCTGGGACAGTCCCGGCTTCAGGTGCTAATGATGATCACAGCTAATACACACAGTGCTTATGACCTGTGAGACACTGCTCAAAACACTACGTGCACTAACGTATTTAATTCTCAGGACAGTGTTACAAGGTGGATGCTTTTGTCCTTGTCTTCCCCTATGAGAAAGCCAAGGCACAGGGAGGCCAAGTGACTAGCAAAGATCTCACAGCTGTGTAATGGATCAAAGGCAGATTCCTCCCAGCCCGAGCTCCATCTGTACATATGCCACACCCTTCAGGGTCTGTAGTCTGTGCCAGGCTCTGTGTCTGGAGACTGTGGCTCTGCCACTTCCCTTGGAGCAGGTACTGAATGTCACATAAGCCTCGGCTGGGCCTCTGCAGCTACTGCACGTTAGTAGTTAGTAACCATGCGTTTGTTGCATTGGGCTGAGCTCTGGCCGACAGGAAAAGGAATGGTGAGCATCGGCCTGAACCTTGAACTGCACGGGGGAAGGGAAGAGCTGAAATGGGGCACAGTGATTAGTCAGAGAAGCTGAGGATTAGCAGAGTTAAGACCAGAAGCAGGAAACACAGCTTGCTGAAGCGGTGGGGTGAGAGTGTGCAGGGCGTGGGAATGAGGAGAGCAGCTCTGTCTGGCAGAGTCGCTGTGGGGAGCGCTGCTGAGAACAGACCTGGGACCAATCCCCTCAGAGACAAAGAAACAAAAGAAAAAACCACCCAAACAGCAACAGCAACAATAAAACAAAACCAAAACAGGCAGGGAGGAACCGAGGGTTAAAGTCCTTCCGTGCTTTTTTTTAATCTGTAATTCTGAACCCAGGAAACCAGAAGAGGGAAGATCTGGGCTGGGATGAGCTCAGTTCTGAGAAGAGATAATGAAGCCTGCAATTTGCCTACCTGGGCAAAGTTTGTGCCACCCTCAAATGTTGGCAGAGATGTGGAGAAACAGGAACTGAGAGCAGCGGGCAGGAGGCGTATTACTGCAATTCAGCTGCTTAAAACATCCACTGGGCTTTTGATCTCAGTGATCATATTTTGCATTTCTAGAAAGCTTATCCTTTATAAACACATAATGTCTTGGGGTATTTTTTTTAACTTGGTTGTTTATTCCTTCTTCAATGTCTTTATTTTAAGCCTATTATTAATGATGTGATAGCTTTCATCTGAAGTTTGTGTAGCCCTAATCTCGCTGCTTGTTGAACGCGCTGACTTCTATTCATGATGACAGTCGTGGGGTACTGAGGCAGCTCCTAGCACACAGCGGTTGGCTCACCCTGGTGAACTGAACCCCGAATCTTCTGATCCCATCACAGAGCTACTATCAAGTGCTCTAATCTCCACTGCTTTTCCAGTCCAGCGTCCATTCTGTCACCATGAACGAGGATTCAGAAGAAATGGGGACAGGGATGAGGTGGGTGAGGGAGAGCCCAAGACTGGATGCCAGGCTCAACCCCAGCATGGGATGAGTGGGCAGCATCTGGGAGGCCTCCAAGAGTTATATGAGGAAGAACCAGGTCCTCAGCCCAGGTCTAAGCCAGCAGTGGGCCAAGGCAGTAACTAGAGGAGGAACCAAGGAGACTTCGGTAATGGCCAAAGAGGAGCAAGATCTGAGCGGAAGAAGTCAAGTTGATGATCAGAGGGGACCTGGGGACGTGTCTCCATGGTAGAGTGTTTGCCCAGCATGCTTCATTCCATCCCCAGCATTCCAGAAAGAAAAAAAAATAGAAGGAAAAATATCATTGGTGGCCCAGGTTTCCCAAGTGCCAGGATGACACTTTGACCTTGGCCACTGTAAGATTTTTAAAAATCATGGCCTGGTGTTTTAGCTTTAACTTTTGACCCAGTGTATGAATACGAGCCCCCCCCCCCCCAAGAAGCATTATATAGACTTTTCCCTGGGGGACCAAATCTTTGTATCTGTGCTTTAGAACATCTGCATTGTCAGCTATGGATTTGGATTTTCATGTCCTCTTCAGGTTTTTTTTTTTTTTTTTACATTTTCTGGCCCCTGGGAGTTTCCGTGCTTTCTTGAGATTTCATTATACATGTAAAAGGTTGCTTCTTCTATTTCATGAAGTATTTCTAGGTGTTACACATTGGGATAATTTTCAGGTTCCCAAGTATATCAGATTACTAGAACAGGAAATTTTTCTATACAGTTATTCTAGAGACAATTTGAAAATATTTAGTAAACCGAAGGTGTTAGTACTCCACAGTTCCAACAAGTTACTTCTAGATCATTCATGAATGCACAAAAAAGAGACGTGACTCAGAATGTTGATTATAGCATGATTTGTAAAGATGGAGGGGAAAAAATGGAAGCAATCTAAATTTCTATGGACAGAAGAAAGAAAAAATACAGCTTCATGTAGCACAGAATGAGGTACCACAAAGTAAGTAAAAGTAATGAACTAGAGTAATGAACTAGAACTAGAGCAAAAAAATAGCCAGGTGAAGATTATTATGCACAGGCTGGGTGTGGTGCTCTACTCTTGTAGACCCAGATACTTAGGAAGCTGAGGCAGGAGGATTGCGTGAGTCCAGGAGCTCCAGGCCAGCCCAGGTCACATGGCAAGACCCTGTCTCAAAAAAGAGAGGGAGAAGAAAAAGATTATTATACACAAAATAATTATACTTATTTAAGGTTTCAAAAATAAAAAACTAT